CAGCTGCAGCGGGGCTGCCGTAGCTTTGGCGTCAGAGGAAGACGTTCTGACTCAAAGAGTCACTAATACTAAGTTCCTTATCCAAAGGACACTTACAGCCCAAGACCAGGGCTCAAAGTTAACACCGTAACTTTTATGCTTCAAAACCAGAAGTGTTTTATTTACTATTATTGCGGCCAAGCCGCCTAGGGGTAAATGTATCTGTTTAACTATCTAGCATAGTTAAACCTAATCAAATGCATAACGTGTGGCTTTCGGCCAACGTACTGAGAGACCTTGTTAACTCTCCAAATTATGTACTGAGAGTTTGTTAACTCTCCGGGTACTTCGAACCCCTGTGTGTTCCACACCATGTAACCCCGTTACAAATCAACTGCGTGTTTTGACTGCTGACCACTCAGCCTTCGTGTCACGCAAGGAGAAACAGCTCATCCAGCATAACGAAACAACCACTGGTGCGCTGTGCTAGCGGATTTAGAGAAGGACAGAGTGTACCTCTACGATTCGATGGCGTCCTCCTTCAGTGATATTGTCCGTGCCGTGGCTCAGCAGATGATCGTGATGCTGCCAGACGAAGTCAAACCTAGCACTTGCCTGGTGCATCACGATCCGGAGCTTGGCGTCCAGAGCGACAGCTACAACTGCGGCGTGTACGTCCTGCTGGAATTCGAGATGTTCTGTGGGTCAGAGCCGCTCGGCCACCTCGCCAAAAAGACTCTGCAACGCATGCGCCACCGCTACTTGCGCATGCGTATGAAAGAATAAGGACGTAGCAGTAGCTATGTCACGAAAATCATTGCATCGAGCTAAGTTTGCTAAAGTATAAGCTTGATAATGTCTTTAGAAATTAAAAAGAAATCTCAGCAAAAAACTTCTCCCTCTTTGAACTCTGGTGCTGTTGGTGTCGGGCCACCCCGGCTCTTCGGCATCTCCCGGATATACGCGAGTAACATATACTCTTACGCCGGTTGTATTGAGCTGGGTGCTGTAGTTGGTACAGGACGGGGTCCGACGATCACAGCTGGGTACAGGTTTGGAGTCGAAATCACGTCGTGCTCCGTCCCATGTGCACAATGTGTATGCAGCAGCGAGTGCCTTGTATTTTTGTGCTGTTTCGTAGTCTCAACTACGTGTGCAATTGCAGGACGAAGTGTCCACCGCTAAAACCCATATAAAATGGTTTAACCAGATTAATCGGTTATCAAAAATAAACGGTTTAATGCGCACAAAAGCAGTTGCTGGAAAACGAGCTTAGTGATGTTCAGTCAGGTGCTTAATGACATTGCAACTTATAAGTCGGGTTCGAATTGCTAGATGAAGACCAAAAAGTGGTCTCACCAATCAATTCATCGAGATTAATCTTTAATGCTCGACTTTTATCTTCCAAACTGCGACGTGATAGAGCTCGGTAAGCCGGTTTATTAGGCTCGGACGTTTCAAGTACCAGTATAAGAACTCGGTACATCGGCTTTCTGTCACCTTTGTGCTTCAATAAAGTAGATGTTGTACAGGGTGCACTGTTTTTGTTTTTCGTGAACGGCGGTTTCGTTCTGGCCACGTTTGGAAGGGGAATATAATACCGATCTTTCAACGAAATTTCGAAGCAAGATCGAAATGAATTTCACTTGAAAACTTTCCGCAATTCTATCTTCCAGACTCATCGTTGCACAACGAATCTCAGTCTTGTAGGCCACAGAAGTTCTGTGACTTCCAAGACTCCAGAATATCAAATACTGGAGTAAATGTACCATAATACGATCTTGCAATTTAAGCTGAACATGGAGATGCAGTACACTGTATTTACAATATGTACATGTACATTCTACGATTGTGGTACTGTACTGTACTTGCATATGGATACTTTCGACGCGCGTTGATCGTCCTCTCGAAGGGCAACGTGAGTGTCTGACGTAGCTTACGACAGCAGCATCCCTCTCCCTCTTTTGAGTGGAAAAGTCAACTCCCTTCACGACATACCGGTGCTGAAAGATGCTGCCAGCAGTAGCCTCACGATTCAGGAGGCGGCGAACGTTGACATCAAACGTCATCACGTCAAAGAAGTTCCATATCACGCCAGGATGCATTCCATCACGCCATGAGCAGTCTTACTCACCAATGTCACATTGGCAATGTGCTTCGACGACGGCAAATCCCCCTTGCTTGCGAAGCTGACGTACTTCGAACTTCGAAGTACGTGCCTGTTGGCAGGTTTCGCTATTCGTCAGCCTGACGGTCAGCGACCAAAATATCCACGCGGAGCGTCTAGTTGTGGACATGACACGCGATCCAGCTGGCGCGGCGGTTGTCGCCTTGGGGACTCCAAGATGCCACGTTCCTTTGGGGCTCGCAAGGAAGAACGGTCATTTCCCAAACTCCTATTTCCTCGATAAGAGTACCGGTACCCCCACAAGCCCCTACAACCCGATCTCGAACATTGAAAATATGGTGAACGTGCTGCGTACGACCTCCGCCCTGGCCATAGTGGCCGCCTCCTTCGGCTTCGCTGACGCTGGCAGCTTCAAATGCACGGGCATCAACTACAACATCCGCGCCGGTCCGGACTGGGCTCCGGCCAACGAGAAGTGCAAGCCAGCCTCGCAGATTGCCTCGGAGCTGGCCTTGCTCAAGGGCGTGACCGACACCATCCGCCTGTACTCACTCACCGACTGCGACCAGGCCAACGCGGTGGTGCCCGCTGCCATCGAGGCAGGCCTCAAGATCGAGCTGGGCATGTGGGTGGACTCGTCCGCGTCCAGCTTTGAAACCGAGAAGGCCGCGTTCAAGACGCTGCTGGATACCGGTATCGTGCAAAGCGAGCACATCGTGGGAATCCACGTGAGCAGTGAGGCCGTGTACCGTAAAGACATTACGGTGGATGTAGCCATCTCCCATCTAGAGGAGATCCGTACGCTGTGCAAGGCCAACTCGGGCGCTGCCGGCATCCCGCTCACCATTGCCGACATCGGAGACACGTACTCGGCGTACCCGCAATTGATCGAGGCCGTCGACTACGTGTCGGCCAACTACTTTCCTTTCTGGGAGAAGACTGACATGACGTGCCGCCGACG